GTGGGAGGTGAAGATGCTATTTTACAGACCAGACATATACATCACTTATGATAAATATTACCAGATACCACGCCTAGGGTTGTTTGGCTATGATGAGCAAAGACATCCTTGAACAGTCGAGCACATGTATGAAGACATCAGTCGAGATCATGTGAAGAAAACAGTGACCAATGAAAATCACCCTCATCTCCCACCACCTCCTATGTGTTCCTTTCACCCTTGCAGGCATGCTGAAGTGATGAAGAAAATCATTGAGACAGTTGCAGAAGGAGGGGGAGAGCTTGGTGTTCATATGTATCTCCTAATTTTTTTTGAAATTTGTATAAGCTGTCATTCCAACAATAGAATATGACTACATACACAAGACACTTCATAATTTAACAGAGAACATATACTCTATCCTAGTTATTAATTCTGATTTTTAAAGAATTAACCCATAGATGTGACCATTGACCATATTTACCAACATGTACAATTTCTCTAATAAAGAGAGTTATATGTTTATACATTTAAAAAAAGTCAAATTATTGCTTTTAAAGTTAACATCTTGGGAATCTGACAATATTGCTACATTTCGCAATAGTTTAATAACTTGTAAAATTATTTTTGGTACCTGTGGCAAAGATATTTTAAATATCGATATATCTTTGGTGGATTTGTTTTTGAGAGAAGTCCAAAACAAATTCATTGCTATGTCATATGTGTAAAAGGGCAATTATTTTAAGCTATTATTCCTTTAGAATGAAATTCTCTCTCTCTTTTTTTTTTTTGGTACCAGGGATTGAACTCGGGTCCTTGCGCTTGCAAGGCAGGCCACCGAACTGCTGAGCTAAATCCCCAGCCCTTTTAATTTTATTTTATGAGTCATTTTTGTTCAAATCTCAAATTACATTACAGCTATTAAATTAGAATGATCTTCATTATTTACATTAAATGAGAATGGAATTGGGATTTATGAGTGTGTTTTCTTTTTCCCTGAAATGATTTCTGTAATTTATCATCAAATTAATTTTCATTGAAACTTGGTAAGAGTTAGATATATAACTAAAACAAGCCATTCATAATAAACATTCATTTGTTGGTTAACATTTGTTGCATAAAAATTTCTGTAATAGTATTTGTTTTATAATCTCATTGTTGGTTTGAAAGGGTTGAATAACTAGAGAAGGATATAAGAAATTCTATAATGAAGAAATCTCTAGTAAAGCTTTCAGTTCTTATGTTTTATTTTAAGACCTTTAACAAATATTAACAGTTTGGATTTGCTTTGCTTAAGAGTCAATGATAGAAGGTAGAAAATGGAGAGAGTAAACTTATTTGGATTTAAGTTACAAATTGTTGGGTTTTTAATATTTCTCTAGAAAATAATTGAAGTTTTCTTTTTAGTATAAAATAATTGTAAATTGCAGGGAGTTGTATTTAAATTGATGCTTCAGGTTAATTTGTTTAGAAGTGAAAACTTCATAGATATGAGATACATAAGTAAATTCTGAAATTATATTGTCCTGTTACAGAGAGATTCTTCTTATTTTTAATTGCAGTCTTCTATATTTAAATCTAATGGAAGAATATTACTAAACCCATATAACAATCAAATTATAGAAATGCTACCCTTATAAATTCAGCATTATTGGCAAAAGAGATATGAAGAAGAAACTAGAGTCATTTTAAATACAAGTCCTAGCACACCTTTTATTTGATGACTGGTATTGCTAAAAGTTTGAAATTGAAGAAGCTGTTCCTAAGATTCCTTTTCTCCTTCTCCTCCTCTTCTCCTTTTGCTTTTGCTCCTGTCTCTTCTTTTTCTCCTTTACCAAATCTGTCTTCTTATTGGTCCTGGCAGTTAGGGGCAGGCTTGTGCAAGGTTTGAGACTCAGTTTGCACCTTCAGGAAATTGTCCTCTTTTCTTGCCACTATTACCACTTGTGATTTCTATTTTTTTCCCCCTTACGCTTTGCATTTCTTTTTCTCTTGTATTTGAATGAACTTGTGAAGTGTATGGTTCTAGTTCCTAATACTTTTGGAGCACTTAGTGTTGGCAGGAACCAAACTTTATGTGACTAAGACCCCTTGGAGTTCTGAGGTAACAGAAAGTTAAGCCATGTAAAGGATTTTTGTGATATTTATACTTGTTGGGATACCACTCTGCTATAAAGGAGGATAAACTTGAGTCATTTATAGGAAAATAGATGCACCTTGAAACCATAATGTTAAGTGAAATAAATCAGACACACAAGCTTAAATTTCACATGATTTCTCTTAGATGTGAAACCCAAAGCCTACGTAAATTAAAGATCAAAATCAAAGATAGGTAATGGGAAAAGAGAGACATAGTGTTTCGGCATATGTGAAGGGGATCAAGAGAAGCTGGGGAGGAGACATAAAAAGAATTAAGATGTATTATATACATGTACCAACTCCCCTCAATGATGTATTTGTGATGTACTCTACACACGCACTCATAAAAAATTTTTTTTTTTAAAGTAAGGTATTTTGGTACATTTTATCTCATAATGGTGGAGGACCATAAAGTAGGCATGCAAAGAAATGTTTATCTTCTCACTAACATTTGTACTCCAAGTACAGTAGGTTCCCAACTCTCACAGGTGTACTGTATAAGACTGTTTCTGTTAGATTACAAACAAATCCAACTTATGAATATTCTCCCCATACAGAACTTATTCATAAATCGGGCACTTCTGTGCTGAGATCCTTGGAGAACTCATTTTCAGGTTGAGGGGGTGAAGGTATAGGTGGATTTTGGCCCGAGGATTGTTAGTCTGGGAAGCTTAGTGTGCCATAGGTTGCTATAAGTTCTTTGATGGCTAAGACGCTTAATTTCTAGCACTTAATGTGGTATACATAGTACTGGAATAAGACTATTTGGTTTTTTTTGTGTGTGTGTTTTGTTTTTCTTTGCTAAGTTTGCAGTTTTAGGGATTGAATTCAGGGCTTCATGCATGCCAAGTTAGCACTACCACTGAGCTATGTCCCCAGCCCTAGGGAAAAAAAATATTTTCATACAAAGGTAAATTACACAGTTGACCTTGCAAAGATAATAGAGCATGAAGAACAATTCTGAAATGCTGCTTGAAGTTTTGGTAGAAGTAGATCCTCTGCAACCTTAAATGAATTTAGGAGTTAATAAATTTAGCAGTGTGATTTTTAAAAATCCAACCATACTTAATAAGCAATCTTTTCCTTTTTCTCTTGGTATTGATTATAAACTTTGCTTCTTGTGGCTATTTTTGAAAAATAATGTGTGCACAGTCTCTTTTAAGACTTACTTCCTTTAAAAAATTGCTAATTTTTTCTTTTGATACCATTCCAGAATCCCTGAGTTCTACAATACCAAATTTAATAAATATGATGTTAATATACTGGAAAAATGTTTTGAATGTTAATATTACTTGCGTAAAACAAGCTAAGAATTTTATTTACTAATTAAATCAGCATTGAAGTTTAATGTTTCTTGTACCTAAAAGAATATTTTCCTGTTAAAATAATGTCATAGGTAGACAAACAGTTAAATGGATTTTTAGGAACTGGAGTACTGAGCATATAAAATATCATTGCAGATGTTTTTGTAATACATTGTGTATGATTTTAATAATGCCTCATTTTTATTGAGAATGAAGTAACCTAAAACAATTTCCAGTTGTTTCTGTTGATGTGATACCAAAAATAACTAGATATTGTTTTACCTGTTAAACTTACAAAGGTTAAAATTGTACACAATATAGTTCTTATTCCTTTATCTGCAGTACTGATTTTTAATATTTTAAAGGAATTTTAATGTTTGAGAAGTCTAGACTCCATTAAAGTGATCAAATGCTGTTAAATATATATACCTATTTAAAACCATAATAAACATGATATGTCAAATCCACAGAAGTATTTAATTCACTTTTAAAAAGTAGAGATTCAAATTATTTGGTTTAAGGTACTTCAAAGTTACTTTTCTTCAAATACTGTTTTATTAGTACTTTGTATTGAGGATGGAATATAAAACTGATGCTCAGGAAAGTACCGTTACTATTAAAATGAAATAAAAGTACTATATTGTCAGTGCTTCATCTATACCCAAATATCCTGGAGTCCCAATTTTCTTCCATGGTATGATGATTTAATTCGTAAAAATGAACCATTTTTGTCCCATAAACTGTCAGGGTGGTTACAAAAGTGAAAAAGATAACATTCAGCTTCCAGAAAGATCTAAGTCAAGTAGCAATTGCAAAATACAAACTATTATAATTTCAGTGGTAAGTTCTATCATTGTAAAAGGAGGGAGGTGAATGGAATGAAGAAAAAATTGTCTTATACCTTTACCAACTCCATATGAGGAATGTTGTCATTATGTATCCCAAACATGCCCCCCTCAAAAAAAAAACCTGGAAAAAAATACAGTGACATGCTGCCTAGTGTAATAGGGAAAGCTTCACTGGGCACTGATACATTAGCATTGTCAGATAGGAGACTCATTTATAAAGAACTAGTACTGGAAGTTTTCTTAATATTATTTTTACTTTGTCCTATCCATTTTTAAAAATTCTAATATATATATATAATGTAAAATTTACCAGTATAGTCATTTTGAAGAGTACAGTTCTTGTGGCATTAAATACTTTAATACCACCCAGTATCATCAGAACTTCTTCATACTTCCCAGCTGCAACTCTGTTGTACTCCTTAAATACTAAATCTCTGTTTTTTGTCCCCTAGCCTCTGGTACTCATTGTTCTGTTTTCTATTTTTACGAATTTGGCTACTTTTGGTAATTGTCTTATTATTAAACACTCCTTTATCCTACTAGTCCAGCACACAGTAGGTATTCGGTGAATATCTAAATTAAAGGTCAATTAGGTATTGAAAGCATTGGTTGTATCAGTTATTGTGGTATTTCTTGTGTGAACCCAAACTGCTTATTACTAATAACTTTCTTTTTCTCTGAAATATTTTTTATTTAAATTTCTTTTCATGTAGCTTACTTTCTTTTTTAGACTGAATCAGGATATGGATCTGAATCCAGCTTACGTCGACATGGCTCATTGGTGTCACTGGTGTCTGGAGCAAGTGGCTATTCTGCAACATCCACCTCTTCATTCAAGGTTTGTGGTTATGAATGCTTTAAGTCAAATTAACATAATTTGAGTTTAGTATTAGAGACTGAGCAGAACTTACTTGGTGGGTTTTGAAAGGATTTTCATGCACTGTAATTTATTTGAATTTGTTAATAGAATAACTTTTTAAGGGACAAAATCATGACTCAAATATAAACCACATTTTATTATTTTTTAAAAAAATTTCCATTAAATTTATTGGTACATTCAAAACAAACAGTACAGTTACATTTATCATTGGGATCTTGTACCTTTACATGATATATCTTGGTTCTTGTTTTTTCCCCATATTCTGCCCTCCCTTCACCCCCTCCACCTTTCCCTATTTACAAAGACTTTGTTTCCATTTTTTCATTTTTTAACATTTTTTTCTTTTCCCTTATTTCCTTTCCCCTCACCTTGCCAGTTCTCCTTTAGCCATTTTCTTCCTATTTCACACTCCCAATTATACCATTTGAATATTATCTACACTTTTAGTTTTTCATAACAGAGAAATTATTCGGTATTTACTCAAATGAAACACCTCAGATTTTAAGTTAAATATGACTCAAAGTAGAATCTGAATATTGAGATGAATTTGATAATGCAAAACTGATCAGTATCCACAGGTTTGTAATCAGTGCCTCTACACAGGTTAAAGTTCATATGTACTTCTACTTACAATAATCGCTTTGTTTTTTGGGCCAGGAATTTAGCTCAGTGGTGCCGCCACCTGCCATGCAAACATAAGGTCGTCCTGAGTTCAATCCCCAATAACCCCCCAAAAAAGATAAAAAAGACTGAAGATATAAAAATCACTTTGTCTTATATTGAAAGAATTGCAAAATAACTCAGATACAATGAAAGGCAGAAACTTTTACATGATCAGATACACTTCGTCCTGAGGGTTCCCTAGATGACTCTTACCAATACTGTGAAAGTGTACCCAATAATTGCTTTGCCATTTCAAGATCAGTTTCTCCTTTCAGTGTCTAATTTGAAAATAAAAAATACTGCTTTAGCAAATTGTCAGGCATTATTACTGTTTTATTTCCCATGGGTTTATAACTGTCAAGCTACTAGTCATTTTTAATCCTATTCCTAAGAATATTACCTTGAACTTATCTCTTTATCCAATTCCCTCAGTAATGAGGTGCAGACCTTAAAAGAGAATAAAATACCATAAGATCAAATAGAGTATAGTTCTGTTTCATATGAATTACATCTTCCCCTTTTGTATTTTGCAGAAAGGCCACAGTTTACGTGAGAAATTGGCTGAAATGGAGACCTTTAGAGACATCCTGTGTCGACAAGTTGATACTCTTCAGAAGTACTTTGATGTCTGTGCTGATGCTGTCTCCAAGGATGAACTTCAAAGGGATAAAGGTTAATTAGACTATTACCACTATTTTTACTTGGAGAATGAATGGATTTAAAGCTTCTTGATCTTAATGGGTAATGTCTTTAAGTAATAAAGGTAGTTATAGTCACTTTTGCTTCAAAATCCCAGTATAACAGATTTTGGTGTCCATGTAATTTCAGTACTTTAATAATACATACTAATTCATTTCTGATCGTCCATATAAGATGCCATCGAAGAATTCTCAGTGATACTTTTAATTCTGCTAAAAAATGGTACCTAGGGCGGGGGATTTAGCTCAGTGGTGCTGTCGCCTGCTTAACAAGCGCAATGTCCCGAGTTTGATCTCCAGTACCCCCCCACACACTCACCAAAAAATGGTATCTGATATCTTCACATATTATTATGCATCATACATTATTATGTCCAGTAAATTTACCCCTTGATGAGTCTTAGAGAACACAGCATATATTCAGTTCCCCATATCTGGACTGAATTCATAGATCTCTTTCTTCCTTTGTCCTTTTTTATCCCACTGTTCTTTCTCTTTTCTTTCACACTTTGCCTGCCTGCCTACCTGCTGGCTGTTCATGTCTCTCTTTCCCTCTCCCATTCCCTCTCTTCCTCACCATCCTTCCCTCCCTCCTTTCTCCCTTTTTTTCATGGAGAAATAAACCAGTAATGAGGTGCTCTCTTTGTGAACTTTGGTTGCCTTCATCTGTTTGGATTCTCAGCTCTTTCTATTTTAAGAGTCTTACTGGGCTCCCCTTGGGTTTCCTATCCTTTCTCTACAGTTTAGAAACTCCCAAGGCAGTGAGCTAGAGCCTTTATTAAAGCTCGTATCATTTGTTTCCCAACTCTCAGGGATCACTGCCTTTTTTATCCTCTACCTAGTGATTACTGTCTCATATGTTTTTTCCAGTGTTTTAGATTTATGTTAGAGAGTAATTCAATCCCTTGTTATCCATTTTGCCCAGAAACAAACATCTATATTCCTCTTAAAGTACTTAATTTTGTCCTGTAAGTAGCTTTGAAATTCTTTATTTTTAATATGTTGTTTTGGCTTTTTAACATTTGATAATTTTCTTTAAAAATAAATCCAGCGGAACCAGATGTGGTGGTACATGCCTGTAATCCCAGCACTTAGGAGGCCTTAGCATGAGGATTGTTGCAAGTTTGAGGCCAGCCTCACCTACATAGTGAGTTCAAGGCCATCCTGAACTGCATAGGAAGACCATGTCTCAAAAAAAAATTAATTAAATAAATAAAAAATAGATCCAACTGAACTACATATCTTTCAGTGTTTTTAAAAGTGTACCCTTTAATATCAGATTAAACAGTTCACAGTACTTGCCTTTTTCTCGGAAAATAGCCCTTTAAACAAAAAAAAAATGCATATAGAAACGAGTTTTGTTTATCTTTTTTTTAGCTTGGGTTTTGTTTGAAGGACAAAAGTGATGATGGAGGAAGTAGAGGTTGGAATGCATAATTTTAAATAATGTTCTGAATTCTTTCTTTTACATGTTTGAATAAATGGCAGAAATGTAGACAGGACTGAGTGGCTTAACAGATTTATTTTTTCACAGATCTGAAATTGGTGCTCGAAGGCTTGCTTTCTTCCAAGGATAGTGAGGGACAGATCTCTTCCAAGCATATCTCTTTGGCTCGTAGATCTCTGTCTTTTCATACCATATATCTGTATGTGGTGTTTATGTACAAATTTCCTCTCAAGAGGACACCAGTCAGATTAACACTCCCCCCAATGATCTCATTCTTACTTAACTGATCTCCAAATACAGTCACATCTTAAGCTATTGGGAGTTAGGGCTTCATGGGAATTTGCCAAGGAGAGTACACTGCAGCCTATAACAACTAAGAATATATGGGAAAAGGCAAAATAAGGATGTAGACCATATTTTCCTACTTCAGTAGTCAGTGTTGCTGATCTGAATCTAAGAATCACTGTGGATGCACTTTCATTAAATAATTAAAACTAAGTTAATGATTTAAAGAGAGTTAAGAATTTCTGTTCTTTGGGCCAGGGATTTAGCTCAGTGGTTCCACCACCTGCCTTGCAAGCGCAGGGACCTGAGTTCGATCCCAGGTACCAAAAAAAAAAAAAACAATTTCTGTTCTCTGTTATATGTCATTGATATGATAACCCTAAACTTTTCCTTTTATTTTAGGTGTTCATTGTTTTCATATAAAATGTTTTATCGGAATTAGTAATAAGGTAGACAACTCAATCCTTTACCACCATCACTATAGCTCTCACACACATTTTTAGTAAGATTTAATTAGTCCTAAATATATTTTTGATTTATAAACAAGATAAACATACCACACTAAAAGCAATGTAAACAATTGTAACAGATTGGAATGGTGAGAATAATCAGTATAAAACCTCTGAACAATTATGACAAGTAGAAACTTCATTTGGGGCTTATTTATCTTGTTGCTGAGACACAACACTGACATCCACAAATTAAGTGGGAAATGTTTATTTTGGCTCATAGTTTGTAGCGACTTCACCCTATTGTTGCTTTATCCCAAGGCAGAGAGCCACAGAAGAGAAATGCTCATGGCAGGAAGAAGGGAGCAGAGAGAGATCAGGAAAAGAGGAAAGGAGATAGATCCTCGTAGGCAGCACCAACAGTGACCCACCTCGTCTGACCAGGCTTCACTTTCCAACATCATATTTTGTTAGAAACTCATCAGTGGAGTAATCTACTGATTACTGATTGATTAGTATCATGCAGCATTGATCCAGTCATCTTCCAAAAGCCCCACCTTTTGAGTGTATGGGGTTTTGGGAAGATGTTAGATATAAACCACAATTAATTAGGCATAAACCACAATTAATTAGGCATAAACCACAATTAACTTTGATAGTATTTTGTAGTATTTACCATGAATAATGTTAAATACACTCATTATTTAATTTTACAGTAGGCTCATTATATAGATAAGTGTCATGTTACAGATTGGAGAATTGCAGAGAAATGAAGTGGCAATGTTTGCATAGCTAGTCTGTTTATGAAGCTACATATATTGAGTTTTAGTAGTAGACACACCTTTGGGCACATTCTATATTAGCATTTTCTTAAAAATTGGAAGTCATAGGGCCGGGGATTTAGCTCAGTGGTTCTGTGCCTGCCTTGTAAATTCAACGTCCTGAGTTTAATTCCCGGTATAGGGGTAGTGGGGATTGAAGTCTTAACAGTTAAGTTCTCATGTGGTAGAAGGACAAATAACTAAGGCAGGAGACTTGAAGAATGAGAAACAAAAGGAATTTGAGTTTTAAAATAAAATGGAGACGTGGTTAGATAGGGGACCTATCAAGAGTGTTGGCAAGTAGAAATTTCACTGGACGCATAAGCAGCGTCAAAAAGCACAGGGTCAAGAAGTAAAGTAAAAAATGGAGATGGTTTATAAAAACAGATTGTATTAAAAGAGCTAATCATTGAAAAATGTTGCTTTTTCTAATTGGAGGCAAAGGTTACAGTGAAGGGGAGCGGTTTGAGAGGAATTCGATTTAATTTGCTAGGAAATACTTGCATGCTGGGGGGAAAAACAGCTGCCTATTTAATTATTAGAATCATGTGGGGGAGTCCTAAGAAAAAGAAATAATTTATCATAATTTTCACCCCTAATCCTACTGAGCCAGAATATTAAGGTGTATGAAGGAGAGTTTCTAGATGAGTGTAGATAACTTCCTGGTAGAAATAGAAGCCAGCATTATAAGCCTCTGACAATGGAAGGAAAAGGCCAGCAGAAGGCAAAACAAATATTTAGAGAGCTTTTGATTTTTTAAGGAAACATCCTTCTTTTTGCGAGAATACATAAAACCTAGAATTACTGTACTGTAGTAATATGATGAAATATGTTATTATAGGAGAAATAAAGGTATAAATGGGTTGTAAATAATAAACAGCATTATTTTTCATTGATGAGATGGAAAAAAAAGGAATATTTGAAAAGACTAAGAAATGAAGTAAGGATCTTAAAGGGTACGTGAAAATCATCTTTTTGGGATTAGGCCAGTGAACTAATTTACAGATGGTTGCACTGTAAGTTCATTTGGTAGCCATGACTTTTATCTGAATACAAAAATGCAAGGAAAATAAAAGTAAAGAAAAACATTTCATTTCTATGATAAATAATATACTTGCCCAGGCCCAATTTAGAACCTAAAACTTTTCAGGAACGGGTTTTTCATATATTAAAGACTCCTTGAAGGGCATTGTTGTACATCCCTCCTCACCTGGGCATAGTAGTGTTTGTCTGTAGTCCTAGCTACACACAGGATTGCTGGTGTTGGTGACAGGAGGATCACTTGAGTCTGAGAGTTCGCATACAGGCTGGACCCCCATCTCTTACAGGGAAAAAATAAAAAGATGCCCTGGTAGTAGTAATTTTTTTCAAATTTGTTTTCTCTGAAGCTCCACAGAAGAGAAATGAACAAGAAGTTTGTGCGTGTGTTTGTGTGTGTGTGTGTGTGTGTGTGTAAGTGGGATGTTTCTTTGGTCATAGAGCCTTATTTGGCAACTCTATAATTGATATTCAGATCCAAGTTGAGTTGAAGGTTGAGGGTGATCCTGGAATGTGTACTTTTTAGGCTTGCTTGGAGATTACAAAATTGAGACTGTGAATACGAATGATGATAAAAATACAGGAAGAGCTGACCTTAGAGTTAAGGATATGAAAATGATATTTTGTAACTCAATTTAGTTACTAACAAGGTAAGTGGAATACAAGCCATTTAAAAGCAGCCAGGTATGGTGTTGCATGCCTGTAGTCCCAGCTACACAAAAGAGGCTGAGGTGGGAGGATTGCTTGAATCCAGGAATTCTGGGCTGTTGGTGTGCTATGCTTAGTGTGCACTAAGTTTGGCATCAATGTGGTAGCCTCCTAGGAGTGGAGTCCAGGAGGTTATCTAAGGAGAGGTGAACTGGTCCAGGTCAGAAATGGAGCAGGTCAAAAAATAGTTAATCAGGTAATACTGAGTTAATGCCAGGATCTTACTGATAATAAACAATGATTTAAAAACAGGAGTATGCTAATGGATTCCTTAGAATTTACCATATTTATAAATGATTAATAAGATAAAATTCCATAGAATGTGGTAATGTCAATTTTGCAACTAAGGTATTAGCAGAGGTTTCAGTATAGGTGTTGAAGTCTGTAAGAATGGTGGTGATATCATTCAGTTGGATAGAAATGAATACCAGGTACTAGTAAATAATAACAGGTTGCAATTAGAAAAAATTATTATAAACGAGTGGCAAAGTTTTCAAATGATGAAAAGTTAAGTAGTCCAGTAATTAGAAATGTCCTTAGTGATTCCTACCATTTAGTCAAGGGAGGAAATAAGGTATCATATCAAATTGGGTTCTGCATCAATTGGGGAAAGAGGTAAAGAGAATATAATGTAGTTCTCCTTCTAGAGCCAAGGTACTCCTGAGGTAAAGAAGTACCAAATTTCTTATGACCTTAGTTTAGAATGAAGATTCCTTCTGTAGAGAGTCCTTCAAAAGATACATAGTATTCTTTATCCAAAATAGTTGGAATTAAGATTATTAGGATTTTGAAATTGTTTTGGATTTTGGAATATTTTCATACACATAATGAGAGGTCTTTGGGATATGACCCAAGTATAAACACAGAATCCATTTGTATTTCATGTACATTGAATAAACATAAGCTAGAGGTGTTTTTATACAGTATTTTTTGTGTGCCTGAAGTCAAGTGAGTTACTTTCTACCTGTAGCATCATGTCAGCACTTAAAAAGTTTTGGATATCACAGCATTTGGGGTTTCAGATATTCATATTATAAGGTACTCGACTTGTAAAGTAAGCCATAAAAAAAAAAAATTGGGGAGGGTGTACCGGGGACTGAACTCGAATCCTGTGTTTGCTAAGCAGATGGCAGAACCACTGAGCTAAATCCCCGACCCAGCTACAGAAATTTTGATAAAAGCAGAAAATAGGTGGAGGGTTGATTCAAAAATTTGCATCATGAATAGTATATATAATAAGAGGATCAACGTATAATACACAGAAAAAGGAATAGAAGAATGGTATACGAGAGGAAAAAAGCAAGTTTAGTTTTACTTTAGTTTAGTTTAATTTTTTTCTATAATTGGAGTTGTTAAAAAAGAATTTCTAGAGCCAGGGATTTAGCTCAGTGGTTCCACCGCCTTGCTTTGCTAGCGCAAGGTCCCAAGTTCAATTCCAGGTATCAAATAAATAAATAGCCGGCCTTCATTTAAAAAAAAAAATTCTAGGTATAGGTACCCAGTAGGATGAGTGAAAATATCATATCTGGAAGTAGTTCTGTTTTCCTTGCAAATACAGAAATTTTAGATTTAAAACACTCAGAGACTAGCTATGGTATCTACTCCGTGTAGTTATCCTTTGACAGCCCTGCTCATCCCTTCTAGCTTTTTCAGAGAGGGAAAAATAATTATAGCTTAATAATTATCTCTTTCATAAATAAGAATGGATAGCTAAAATAATATATATATATATATTTATATTTATATATGTATGTATGTATTTATTTATTTATTGAGATAGGGTCTCTTTATGTAGTTCAGGCTGGCCTTGAATTTGCAGCAACTCTATCTCAGCCTCTCCAGTATTGGAATTATAGGCATGTGCTGCTCTGCCTGGCAAAATAATATGTTATTTAATTATATTTATTGAGCATAACGTGAAAATACAAAAGATAAATAAGATCTAGTATTTACAGAATCTGAAGGGTATTGACTCTGTTGAACATAAGAATAAATTGATTTCCTTTTTTCATTCTAATATTTTTAAACATTTTATTTAGTGGTAGAAGATGATGAAGATGACTTTCCTACAACACGTTCTGATGGCGACTTCTTGCATAATACCAATGGCAATAAAGAAAAGTGTAAGTAATATATTTTTTCCCTTAGCTGGATAAAATATAGTTTCTTACATTATATAACAAACAATAGTTCATGATTGAGTAATACTTAGAAAGCAATAGAGAATAGAGTGCCGGGAATTTAGCTCAGTGGTGCCACTGCCTGCCTCCCAAGTGTAAGGTCCCAAGTTCCATCCCCAGTACCAAAAAAACAAAAAACAAAACAAAACAAACAAACAAAAGCACTAGAACTGCAGAAATCCTAGCTAAAATATTTTTGGAGAAAAGTAATACTGGTAAAATATACGTTCTGATGTTGTATAACTAGCCACAAATGCTCATTCTAAATTCCAAACATTAGCTTATTTACTTCAACAGTATTAACAAAATCACACTTTAAATACTGAATACTGAATGTTTTTCCCCCTAGGGGAGAAATGCTTTTAGGGAATTTGACTTTATTGTTTTCTTTAGAATGTATTTCTTTTGGTTTACAGGACACTTTTTTCTCTACTTGATGAACTACTGTTGGAACACTGGTTCCATATAGTTATGGAAACTATTAAAATAGCTCTCATTTCACAGCATAATTGCTTGTAGGCTCAGGACCAGGATGATTTATTTTACATACTCATTTATTAATTGTTACCTTATTTATATTGACTGACTTACTAGTAGGAATTCTGAATTGTTCATTATTGTGAATTATAGTCAGTGTTCATCTTGTTACATGTTCCTAAGAAAAAGTGGATTTTTGAAATTTTTTAAATACAAAAAGACTTTTGTGAAAAAAAAGTTAATCTCATTATACTTTTATTTTTACTGAAATTATATAGAATATGAAATAAGATTTGCAGTTATAGCACATTTATACATCAGGGTTTTGTTTGTTTGTTTGTTTTGTGGTACTGGGGATTGAACCGAGAGCCTTGCACATGCCAGGAAAGTATGTGATACATCCCCAGCCCTATTTGCTGTTTTTTTAAGCTGTTACATGCACAGAAATAATTTCCTATTTTAGAGATCATATACTATTCCTTTATGTGACTTCTCTGTCTCCCAGTTTCCGTCTTTTCTTGTTTCTGATTTTCATCCTGGCTTTCCTTCTTCCTTAAAACTTACCTGTATTATTCTTGTAAAGTACTAGCTTGGTATTAATGACTTATTATCAGAATTTTCCTTATGGGACTAAATGTTAAAACCTATCAGTTCATCTAGATGAATATATCTTTATCTAATTAAGGGACTATTTTATGAAGGTCCTTTAGAGTTACATTTTAATTTCACAATAAGCTGCTTTAATGGAAAAAAAAGTACTTTGTTTATATATTAGAAAAATTATTGAAAGGAGTTTTAAATCTTCCAGGCCTGATTCTCCATTCCAAATAGACTCAAGCTATCTCACCTGTGTTCCTAAAATTGAATGGTAACATCTCTTTTTAGAAGTTCAACTGGAAAATTCTAGATTTAGGAATATTTGGCACAACAAAAGATCAGTATTCTGTGCTATCAATAAGCGATTAAACAAAAATATACATACTGATTATTGAGCTCTCCCTGCTCAGTCCCTCTTACCTCCCAAAGTTCTGTTAACCAAGGACTGTAATGTAATTCCCACCCCTTTTATCTTACTTTGTTTTCAAATATCATCAACTGGAGATGTGTTTTCTGACAAAACTAGAAAACAGCTCCAGAGAAACTGAATGGCCACAAAGGAAAGACTATAGAGAGAAATGTGGGGGGATTCTAGCATAAAAAAAGCTTTCTCACTACTACATCACCCTTGATGAAGTCTACAGAGCTTCACATCCTGGCTCTTAATGAGAACTAATAGCCAGGTCTCTAGACATTTGAAGAAAGACTGCAGCATAAAAGATAACGACCACAACAAGGAAACTAGAAAAAGAAATTCCAAAGACTGGGGTTTAGTGCAGCGGCACCATTCCTGCCTTCCAAGCTCAAGGTCCTGAGTTTGATCCCTAGTACCAAAAAGAAAAAAAGAAATTCAGGATGATTCTGTAAAAGGAAATAAAAGACATCCAAATGTGAAACTACCTCTGTTTGCAAATGCTGTGATGATATAAAGAATTGTAATGAATTTCCTAAAAACTATTAGGACTATAAATTATTTCACCAAAATTTCAGAGTATAAGATCAGTACACAAAACATCAGTTGTATTTTTAAATAACTGAAATGAACAAACTGAAAATGAAATTTAAAAATTTTATTTATAATATCATCAAAAGCACCAAAATACTTGGGAATAAATTTAAAAGAAAAATCATAAACCTTCAGATCTAAAAGACATCCTGTGTTCATGAATCAGAATGCTTGACATTGTTAAGAATTCAGTACTCCCAAATTGAACTGCATATTTAATGTAGTCCTTATAAAAATCCCTCAGTATATGGGCCAGGATTTAGCTCAGTGGCAACACCACCTACCTCACAAGTTCAATCCTGAGTCCGATCCTTGGCACCACCAAAAAAAAAAAAAAAAAAAAAAAAAAAACCTCAATATGTTTTTTTAAGGAAATTAACAAGCTGATTCTAAAATGCATATGAATACACCAAAACAGACTTGAAAAGGAACAGAATAACAGTGTTCAGAGGCCGAGGAAAGAAGATTGTAAGTTCAAGCTCACCCTGGCAACTAAATGATTCAGCAAAACCCTGTCTTAAATTCAAGTGAAAAACAGGCTGATGTATCGGTCAATGCTCACTGGAGAAACAGATTTAATGTAAGATATAAAGAAGTATATAAGGATTTGCAAGGTAGATGTACAAAAGCTGCCTGCAGAGTCAGGTATGGGAGAATGCAAAAGGACTGTCTACAGACTGGAGATCCAAAGGATTGAGCTATAGGTTGAAGGCCTGGAGCTCACTGTAGAGTCCTGTGGGAGTCTGTATCAGGAGGCCAAAAGGTCTGTACTATAAGGCTGAAGAGTCTGTGTTGGAAGCCAGAGGACAGACATTGAAAGTGAAGGTGAAGATGGGAGCTCCTCGAGAGAAACAGAAGTGAGACTTACTTCCTTGTTCCCTTTTATTCCATTTAGGCTATAAACCTATTAGTGCCACTCACACCCAGAGTGGGTCTTCTGTTTTAAGTAAATCCATCCAGCCACACCCAGAACTATGCTAATCTAATCAATTGGGCATTTCTTAGTGTAGCTGACACAGGAGTTAACTATAATTCTTCCATTGTCAGTTTGATAACCAGAAACATTTCCTTAAAACATACTTAGTTTCCAGATACAAATACATGTTCATAATGATGCCTAACATTGTACAATTGTTTGATGTACACATGGAAATGCACTAATTCATTCCCCAGAGTAAAAGGCACATTTTCTTTAGGTAATTCTTACTCCTAACTTTTCATAACTTCAACATTTTGAACAGGTTTAACAAAATTTAAGAACCAAGTCTTTTCATCATTGTATCAAATAAGTACAGTAGAAGAGCACTATTATAGTTATAATCCTTGTTTCTTTAACTAATCATGGAGTAGCTGGTATTTAGAATTTCTGCCCTTGTCCTTCAGCAAGCACCTCAGCAGGTCTTGGTTCTTTTCCTGGTGAGGTGACTCATACCTTTATTCCTGAAGGTACTAGGCCATTTGTCATCCTGCCTGGATTTGGGGTATTATAGATTCTCATTGACCTTAAAACAGCATAGTAATACTAGGAGGTGCCCTAAGAATTTTGTACTTCAAGTATATTCCTCCTTTCTTACATTGTGAGAGGACTAGTCCAATTTCCCCTTGCAGCCTGGGTCAGGGACCCCTGCCAACACTGTTAACTCCCTTTTTAACTTGTTTACTGAGAGGCTTGAGGAGACCAAAATGATCCGTGGAGAGTCTTAGCTTTCAGTTCAATGGAATCATTGTTGTGCCTCCTGGTACAATCCTTTCCCTATCTGGAACTATAAAACTTCTAGGCCAGCAGAGCATAAGGTCTTGGGAACAGGAAATAAAAATCTTGCTAGTGGATCTCTAGGGATAATGGTGAGTGGTAACATTCCCACTTCCACTCCTTGATTCCTGGACTTGTGAATCTTTTTTGTGGAAACCTCAGGATCATATAGTGGATTCTGATTCAGAATATATAGAGCCTTTTGAAGAACCTTGCCCCCACCCTGCAAACTATAACTGCCACCCAGCTGATGATATAACTACATCTTCAAAAGACCAGTCCACCTTTCTATCAATCCAGCTGCTTCTGGATGATAAGGAACATGGTAAGACCAGTGAATTCCAAGAGCATGAGCCCATTGCCTCACTTTTTTGGCCTTAAAATGTATTCCTTGGTCAGAGGTGATGCTTTTTGGAATTCCATGACAGTGAATAAGGCATTCTCTAAGTCTGCAGATGGCAGTTTTGACAGAAACATTAAGTTCAGGGAAGGCAAATCCATACCCAGAATAACTGTCTATGCTGATAAGGACAGAGTGCTGCCCTTTCCATGATAGAAGTGGTCCAATATAATCCACCTGTCACCAGGTCACAAGCTCACGGCCCCAGGTAATGATGCCATATCTGGGTCTCAGCATTGGTCTTTGATACTGGTAATACTGGTCATTCAGCAGTGGCTGTGGCCAGATCAGCCTTGATGAATGGGAGTCTGTGTTTCTAAGCCCATGCATAACCTCCATCCATGCCACCATGGCCACTTTGTTCATTAGCTCACTGGGCAATGACAGGGTGGCTGCAGAAAAAGGTTGACTGCTCTCAACAGAATGGGTCGTGCTACCTATCCACTTAATTACAGATACCCCTCGTTTAATGGCTGTTTGGACTTAAACCAAAGCACGCTATTCAGGTTTACAACCATCTTTTTTTTTTTTTTTTAATAGTTCTATGTAGTTTGTTGTGCAAGCTGGGAGACAAGATAATATAGCAGTAGTAGGAACCATGAGCATGTGGGCAACTTCTTTATGCAACTTATTTGTGCCCTCTGGACCTCCTCTGTCCAACTTTATGACTCAGTGGATCAGATAATCAGTTTATGATGGGTAAGGTAACC